GACAAACGGATCCGAATTCCTCACTTAGCAGTGTTTGATCATTGCCCTCTTCTGTACCGAGGTCAGGCACAAATAGGTCACCAGAGATTTTTTTTTTTTCCTTTTTTTTCCTTGAAATTTTCTCTCCCAGTTATATTTGTTGAGTATTATCATTTTTTTGGAAAACAGCGAGAATCATCTTTGCGGTGCTTGCGTCCGCTTTGAGCCGTAGGAGTAGCATGTTCTGTGTTATTTTACAAGCAAAGCGTTTTTTGCTGATCAGCTCACGGGGTTCTAAATTTTCTGCTCCCCATTCTCAGCCTCCATCTCTTGCTCCACCGTCTCCTGTTCGCTCCCTTCGCGTCTTTCCTACAGTCTGGGAATTTTCATTCTCTTTCACATTAGAGCATCGTTCTGTATCATCGGCAGGCTGAATTCCTTTGGAATTTTTACTTGGCTCTTCGCACTGTGAATTTTTTCGCCCTATGCTGTGGGCATGTCCAGCAAGAAACAGACCTTTACTACTGAATTGTGATATAGTAATACAGATTCAGAATTTTGAGACGGGTACTGGCGCTGGGCATGTCACATAGGTTGTCTCCCGTTGCCAATCTGTTCAGATTGTTTCCAATTTTTTTTTTTTTCATTTTCTCCATTTTTTGAGTCCTGTGATTCTGAAGCATCATTTTTGCAGCATCTTTATCGCCATGATTTTTTCTTGGTCTTTGTTTTTTTTGCAGAGTTCTTCGTTCGCATTTTTGAATGTTTCCTTAAATTACAAAAGAGCTGAAATTTTTGCATTTTTAGAAGTCACTTCTGCTGTTAGTGCTCGAAAGCAGCCTTAAAGCAGAAGCGGCAAAAGGTCAGTTTTCGTCTCTTCTTTGATCTGGTTCCCACATGAGCCTGTGAAACTAAACGGCCCATGAAATGTAACCAAAAAATGAAGCTCCATTTCTCAGAGCATTCATCCATGTGCATAAGTTTTTGTCTGTTTTGCTCGCCTGCGTTTATTGTATGGATGTTTTTTGTATGTTCTTTATGTTGAACTGTGAATTTCCTCATTTTACAATGAACGTTTAGGCTGCACCATGATGTATGAGCCTGCAAACTGAATTGAATGTTTTGTTTGTTTTTTGTATGTTTGTTCCCTTTGGTTTTTTTTTTTTTACCCACTGACTTGTTTTGCTTGTTCTGGTTTCGTTTTTCCTCATTTTTTTTGTCTTTTCCATCTGTCTGATTCAGTGAAGGTCTCTCCGGACCCGAATCCCTTTATCAGGCGCCTCTGCCTAGTCGGCTGCTGTTTTTCTCTCTACTCAAGCATCCGCTGTGCGCCTTCCTTTCGAGTTCTGCTAGAAGCGCATCTTAAATTTCTGGTCAAGAAGATACGCACAGTTAATTATCCTGGCACAGATAAATCCACTGGTGATATTTGGCTTTGATGGGCTAAATTTTGGCAGTGTGTGTGTGTAGGTGGGTGTGTGTGTATGTGTGTTTGGGGTGGG